AGTGGTTATGGCACTGTTCAGCAGTGCCTGGGGTCGGGTGCCAGCTGTCATTTAAAAGTTTCATTTTTGTATTTGTAAAACAGAGGGGGGCAGTAATACTGGGAAGGAGCATGCCCAGTTCCCTTTCTCAGCCTTCACTGAATTCTAGGACGCACATCTCCCACCTGGCCTTGGGTTCCTCTCAGGTCCAGCTGGACACTGGCAAGGACGGCTGGTCCAGAGCTGCGCCGGGGGGCAGTGCCCACACCTGCTCCTGGAGCTGCGGAGCGTCTTCCTCTCTTGCAGGGAGAATGTTGCTGAAAGGCTCAGCTCACTAATACAAGCAACGCACGTGGCGACGAGAGGCAACTCCGACTCCAGCGACCTTGGCGATGGCTGGCTCGAGGTCATACGTAAGTCAGAGCTGTGCGTGCGTCCTCATGTGCCGTGGTCACCCCAAGGCCCTCCTACAGTTCTCACATCAGAGCTCAACCTGGAAGGTCACCTTTCTGCTGTGGTTACCCTGGGCACATGGGCCAATGGCCAACTGCCTGGGAATCCACACAGGAAGCCATGTGGACACCTGCCTGGGAATTCTCACGGGGCCACCTGCTGTACTGTCTCCCTCCCTCATGATGGGGTCCCCTAGCACCTGGGCGGCCAGGGAGCATAGAAGATGTCTGACTGAGGGAGGGCTCCCGGGTGGCCTTATGTTGACCTGGACCCTGCTCAGGGCATGAGACACGGTGGTCTACTCTCAATAGCTGCCAGAACCCAGAGCTAGGCCACATGCTGACCCCTGGGGGTACAGGGAATCCATGAAAGCGCCTGAGGAGGAGTAAGCATGGGACCCACGTCTCCACCTGAGCCCGGGCGCCAGGCCTGAAGGCAGAGGTGGTCGGTCGTGCAGCCTTGGCTGTGGGAGGGTTTGCGTCAGACTCACATTGGAGCCAGGGTGTGGCCTGGAACCTGGTTAGTAAACAGCAGATGTCAAACGCACAGGAAACAACGTGTCCTGGAGAGCGTATTAGCGACCTTTCACCCCTGGCTGGCCCAGCTACCTTGGCTGGCAGATGAATGAAGGTCAGCTTCCCATTCAACTCCTTTCTGCTCCAGTTGTTTTGCTCATGTGGCAGCATGTTCCGGTGTCACCCTGACAGCCTCAACCACTTGGTGCATCTTGCTGCTCTTAACTGCAGCTGTGCTTCTGTGGAAAAGCAGGTGGCAAGCCAGCAGAGTGCAGAACCCGAGCTGTGCCGTCTGCTCTCGGGGTGGGCGTCAGGCCCTGGAAGGCCCCGGCCACCTACTGAACCTTTACGGCAGTGCTTTTCTGCATGGCTGTGGGTGCCGGCCTCTGCCGAGGTGGCTAGCACCCCTCCGAGGTTGATGCCTTGCTCGTGAGCTTCCTGCTGATGAGCCCTGTCTGGCTCTGGGGGGGCGGGTGTCCTGACACCGTAGGAAAAGTGTACCTTCCCACACCTGTAGGTGTAGACGCCCCCGATGCGGGTGCAGACCCGCCTGCCGGCAGTGCCCACGGCCTGTGCCCGGACGTTCCTGCCCAGCTGAGCATCCGCATCCTGGTCGCACAGGCGGGCGCCGTGGAGGGGCACCCCCAGTGGCAGATCCTCGGTGTGGAGACGAGGTATGGGTCCGCCTCAGGGCAGTGCGGCTTACAGCATACAGCGAGGCAGCGCTCAGCAGGATGGCTGGGGTGACTTGCCACAGCATTTGTGGAGCCAGGTGTCAGGATGCAAAGATGGTGGTGGGGGTAGGGCTGAACATGCTCTGTGGTGCCTGGGTGCTCTTGGCCTGCTGACTGGAGAATACTGGCCAGAGCCTGGAGATGGGGGCCACAGTCACGCCAGCACGAGTTGTGGGGCTCTGCTGAGCTCCGTGTGGCCTTGAGCAGTTACTTCTCCCTGAGCTGCCGTTTGCTCATCTGTAAACCGGGACTAGGTCCTGCAGGAGTCGGGCCTCTTGCCAGTTCTGTCTCTGGCACACTGACCCGGGCCACAGGAAGGTTCTGGGTCGTAGTGTGCGAAGGTGTACTCACAGGCCGTGGCACCTGCGTGGTCTGGGCCTGTCTCTTGTCACTTCTCAGCTGCTCTGTCCTCTGGGTATGGATTCCTTCTCAAGAGACAGCAAGGGTGAACAGCAGCAGTTCTGGGTGTCTCCTGCTGGAACCTCTTCCAGCATCTTCCGCACAAGCTGTCTGGGCTTGGTTTTTACTGGTGTGGTGGGGTCACGTGGTCAGCCCTTCCTGAACCAGTTGCTGCGGCTGGGTGCTCAACAGTGCTGACTAGCTGGCCTCAGGTGACCATCTCCACCTCGGCATCAGCCTGGTCCCTTCTGGTGAGCTGAGAGTGGACAAGGGCAGTTCCCGAGGAAACAGTTTCCAGAAGGAAAGAGGACTGCCACACACTGTGGGCAACAATGTCAGGGATCAGCCCGAGCCCACCCCATGGTGCCGTTGGGGCTCTGTAGGGGAGGGGTGTAGAGCACTTCAGCCTGTGCCGGGGACAGAAGGTCCACGGGGTCTCCAGGAGGCTACGAGGCAGCTGGCAGGGTACTTCAAGACAGTCTGGTACCCAGGTAAACTTTGAGTCCCACATTGCCCTAGCACGTGGCAGACCAGGAGTGAGGGGTGCTGGGTAGTCGGCGTCATCCTTCCCTCCCAGGATCTTCACGGTGAACTGGCAGTACCCGTGTGGCCTCACCTGTGAAGACAAGGCCGCCCTCCTGCCCGTCACCACCTCGGTCCGATTCATCACAGTCCCTGCACAGCTGCCCCGCCCGCTGACCAGGTAACCCAGCACATGGAAATGACACGTTCAGAGAGAGATAACTTGTTCTCCCCACTCACTCCCCAAAGTTGTGGTACAAACTGTTGAAACGTTTTGTAGGTTCCAGATCAACTTTACTGAGTATGACTGCAACAGAAATGAGGTGTGCTGGCCACATCTTCTCTATCCGCTGACCCGGTATTACCAAGGTAGGGCAGTGAGAGCCTGGACAGAGGCAGTGTGTGGGTGTCATGCCATGGCCTCAGCCCCCACACAGTCCGGCTGCCTCTGCCCGGCTGAGGCCAGCGTGAGGGACTCACTTGGGCCCCCGGGCCCGCTGTCTTCCAGGAGAGCCTTACTCCCAGTGTGTCGCCAAGGGCTTGCTGCTGGCCTGGTTCCTGTTGCTGGCTGTGGTGCTGAGTAACCCCTGCACCCGGATCCGCCAAGGCTGACTTCCTAAGGGATGTTGGCAGCTCCCTACCCCCCATGCCTCTGCAAACTTTAATAAACAAAACATGGTATTTTCGTATAAAGTTTCCAAGTGTCCCGTGACTGACCCAGGTGCTGTGGGCCCTGCAGAGGGAGCCTCCTCTGCACTAGAACCCACTGCACCACTAACACTGTGCCAACCACTGCTCTCATCCGTAGCCGGGCCCAGCGCCAACCACTGCACTCACCCCACAGCCGGGCTCAGCGCCGAGTTCACCCTGCAGCCAAGCCCAGCGCCAACCACTGCGCTCACCGTACAGCTAGGCTCAGCGCCGAGCTTAGCCCACAGCCAGGCCCATTGTCGACCACTGCTCACCCCACAGCCGGGCTCAGTGCCAAACTCATCCCACAGTCGAGCTCACCCCGCAGCAAGGCCCAGCGCCGACCACTGCTACCCCCGTCCCCCCAGCCGGGCTAGTGCCGACCACTGCTCTCCCCCCGCAGCCGGGCTCAGCGCCGACCACTGCTCTCCCCCCGCAGCCGGGCTCAGCGCTGACCGCTGCGTTTACCCCGTAGCCGGGCTCAGCGTCAGGCTCACACCACAGCCAGGCTTTTTAAAAATTATTTATTTTTATTGGAGATTTATAGAGAGAAGGACAGACAGGATCTTCTATATGCTGGTTCACCCTCAAAAGGCCACAACAGCCAGGGCTGGCCCAGACCAAAGCCAGGACCCTCCTCCAGGTCTCCCTGCAGGGTCCCAAGGATTTGGGCCGTCCTTGACTGCTTTCACAGGCCACGAGCAGGGCGCTGGATGGGAAGTGGAGCTGCTGGGACATGAACCAGCACCCAGGTGGAGGCTTAGCTTACTGTGCCGCAGCTGGCCCCAGAGCCCATCTTTAAAGGAAGCTGGCCTTCCACCCACCAGTAGTTAAGATGCCCATTGCCCTTTGGCTTCCTTCCTGTAAGTGGGCACCCACATGGATTGAGTTCTGAGCTCCAGACTGTGGCATAAAGCCTTAAACATGCATCCCATGCACGCTCAGAGGACCAATGTAGGAGAAAGGTGGGGACAAGGGTGGGGTGGGGACACCAAAATCCGCGTGTCCCAGCGACCTGAGTGCAGGCTCAGAATCAGGTAACCTTGAGATGTTTCCGGGGCCAGGCGAGGTGGGCACAGGGAGCGCGCCCGGTGCGGGGTGGGCGTTTTGGGGGTGTGTCTCCGGGCGGGGTGGGGTGTTTATATGGAGGCCAAAACAAAGAAGCGGGCGCGCGCGGGGTCTGTCGGGCCTTGTGGTGGAGCGCTGATAGGGCCTTTCTGGCCTCTGCGAGTCCACAGGTCACCGCCAGGCCAGGCAGGGGGGTTCTGGGTGTTGTAGTCCCTTGGCCCGGCCGCGTCAGCCGCCTTCTCCTTCCGGGCCTCCCCTCGCACCCACCGCGACGGGGCCTTTCATCCTGGCCTTTACTGAAGGGCCGGGCGAGGGGGAGACCCCAGGCGGCTCCGCTGGCGGGGAGCGGGGACGAGAGTCTCCTTTTCCTGTCAGAAGGATCGACTTGGCCGTCACCTGTCACTCTTGGTCGCAAGCCGGTGATTGGTCGTTGAGCCGTCCTAGCAGGAGGATTTTTCCATGTGGAAAGCGGTCCTCTCTCTTCTCGGTGGAAGTCCGTGCGCCCGTGCAGGGTCCGCGCCGCTCGGCTTCCTGCAGCCGCAGTCCCGCGCGCCCATTGGCCGGCCGGCGCGGGACGCGGGGCGGGACGCGGGGCGCGACGCGGGGCGGTACCGGAACCGGCGGCGGCCGCGGTGGCAGGAGCGGGGGGCGGCCGGGCTGCCCGGAGCCCCATGCAGCACGGCGGCCAGGCGCGCCATGGGGACCCTGTTCCGCAGCGAGCCCATGTGCCTGGCGCAGCTCTTCCTGCAGTCGGGCACGGCCTACGAGTGCCTCAGCGCGCTGGGCGAGAGGGGCCTGGTCCAGTTCCGAGACGTGAGTGTCCATGGCCGGCCAGGCGACCACCGGGGTCCCGCCGGCGGCTTCTGGGGGGAGCTTCCATCCACTCGTCGGGGCCTGGAGTGGGGGTGTAGTAGAGCTAGGCGGGGGCAGATCTCGTCCAGGTCTTCCCTTGGAGGCGTTTCCGGACTTTACGCAGGGCCAGCCAGTGTTCGCTCTTCAAGAGATTAACCGGGGGATTTGGGACACTGGCTCGTCCTGCAGCGCGGGGGAGGCCGCTTGGGAAGCAGCCTAGGTCTGTCCACTTTCTTGCCTTGTGTGTGCGCCTAGGGGAGCTCCTCACCGGGGCAGCCGTGGTCTGGTCCAGGCTTGTTGATGCCCTTCGCAGAGCATCAACACTCGGGTCCTGCTCCTGGGGCCCTGAGGTCTTTCACAGGGCCTCCACGGCGTTAGTGGAATGGATGGCCCAAAGTCTGGCAGGAGGCAAGGGAGCTGAGCTGGAGTGAAGGCCCGGGAGAGGGGCGAGCAGGAGCTGATGCTTGGCGGATGGAATCGGGCAGCGCTGGGTCCCTCACCTCTTGGCTCTCTGGAGAGCTGGGTCCTTACTTCCTGATGGGGACACCCGTGCCAGCCTTGCCTTTGGAACCCACGGGTTGTTCCAGGGGATGCCAGCTGCAGGTGCCAGGCACTGGTCGTGCTCTTCCTGGTTCTTGGAGCCAGGGGGCACTCGCTGTCTGTCCAGGGCAGGTGCCGAGGCCGGCCGGAAGGGCTCAGGCCTCCATGGCGAGGCAGACAGCTCCTTTCCTTGCTGCTGGTTGGTCTCTCCTTTCTGTTGGTAGACCTCCTGGCTGCTGCTCACGTTTGGGTCGAGCTGAGCAAATGCTCCAGTCAGCGCTGAGGGTGGGGTTTTGGCAGGAGCAGCCCGGCAGGTGCAGCCGTGTCCAGGAGGAAGTTAGAGCTGATGCTGTATTGAGCTCTTACCGGTGTGGTCTGTATCTGGCACCCTCTGCCCCCCTTTACTGCTCTTGCATGCCCTCCCTGGCCCTGGTTATGCCCCCTTTGAGAAAAAGGGGTTGTAGTCTGCAGGAAAAGCTCACGCCTGGACCAGGTGGGCTTCGGACAGGTGGCCTGGGAAAACTTGCGTGTGGCCAGCCAGGCTGGCAACGCCAGAGCCCCTGTGCCGGGTTTCCCAGGTTAGGTAGGTGCCAGTCTCCAGGCTTGTCTGTTAAAATGTACTTTTGCCTGTGCCTTCTGTTAGAGTGAGTTTGCCATCCTGAAGCGGGGGGAGGATAAAACCAGCTAAAACACTGTGGCAGAAGCCCCACAATGGAGAGCCAGTGAGTGTCAGGGGTTGCTGCTGGAGGCGGCTGCCAGACCCGGTCAGCTCTGCTCTTGTTCGACTCACTGCCCCAGAGAGCACCCCTTTATGAAGCTTCTGTCCGCAGGGCGTGATGGTCAGTGAGTGTGGTCAGTGAGTGAACTTGGGGTTGGCACAGTGAAGTGGCATCAGGCGACAGGCGAGGCTGGCTTCCCAGTCCTGCTCTGACTGTGCGGGCAGGGCTGTGTCTCCACCCTTAGGGATGGGAAGTGGTTCCTGGAAGTGACCTCCAGAAGGGGCTGGGAAGGTGACAAGCACAAGTGAAATAGGAATTATGTTCTGGTCAATGAAAACGAACAAAAAACCTTCACAAAACGGAAGGAGAAGTGAGCCTGGGGGAGTTGACACCCCTCAGGCGGCTTGAGGGGCTGCTGTGCCCGGCTGCCAGCCATCTGTGCCCTGAGGGTCCCATAGATAAAGTGCTTCTCCACCCGAAGTGTTGCTCTGACTGTTGTAAGTGACCAAGGCCGTAGATGTGTGCTGGGAACGTAGACAGCGTGAGACTAAGGGACCTCGCTGGTTCTCCCAGCTCAGACAGGCCGCACTCCGCCTTCTAGGCAGGTGTTCAGCCTTACACCCGTACCCACTTTTAACACTGAGATATTTCTTAATCTGCTCCTTTTACGCCAGTTTCTTTAAACACTAATTTTTCTTTCAAGCTCTCTGTTATATGTGCAGTGGATACAAGGGTACAGGGACCCCCAGGAGCCCACAATGTAGATTCACAGCCATTCCTTTATTCCTCTCCCCGCTGCCCACTACAAAACTAGGCAGTCCAGGTCAGAAGTGTGTAGTGGAGTATATCAGTGTGCATCTGAAGAGGAAGGGCCTGGGACATTGCAGCCGTGGGGGTGGGTATCAGGTCCAGGGATGTGTAAGTCCTGGCTCTGCTTCTGAACGGGTCCTCCTGCCGGTGCACCCTGGGCAGCCATGGGGTGGTCCCGGGGACTGGGCTCCCCTCCTGCTGCCTGTGCATCCTGGGCAGCCATGGGGAGGGCCCGGGGGCTGGGCTCCTTGCTGCCTGGTGGTGGGGACCGAGATGCGGTTCTGGGCCCTTTGGGTCACGGCTGCCGTGTTACTGGGCGGAAAGGCCGTGCAGGAGTGGGCGAGGGTACGTCTCCCTATGGCCACAACACTGTGTTTGAAGTAGGATTTATTTTCAGATTTCAGAAATTTCGAGTCAATTTTTTATCTTTCAGCTCAACCAGAGTGTAAGTTCTTTCCAAAGAAAATACGTCAGTGAGGTGAAGAGATGTGAGGAACTGGAGCGGATACTGGGTGAGTTCATTTGAAATCCAGGAAACACAGAAAAGCAGGAAGGAAATAGAATAAACTATATTCGTTCTATTCACAGGGAATGACTATATTATTGTAAATTAGCTTTCCAGACTTTTCACCACCCATGTCTGGAAGTAGGACTTGGGTCTGGAGCAGTCGGACTATTTCATTGCCTGCTGCTTCTCAGTAAATGGTACTGGCCATCATGTGTTTTTCTGCCCATGGATGTGGTGGGGGCCAGTGTCTGGCCTGGAGAGTGAGACATACATGTACTGGGCCACAGTGCCTGGGTCGGAGTCTTCCCTGACACTGCTGGTCCCAGTGTGTCCTGGACCACGGTGTCTGGGTCAGAGTCCTTCCTGTTGCTGCTGGTCCCAGTGTGTCCTGGGCCACGGTGCCTGGGTCGGAGTTCTCCCTGTTGCTGCTGGTCCCAGTGTGTCCTGGGCCACAGTGCCTGGGGTTAGAGTCCTCTCTGTTGCTGCTGGTCCCAGTGTGTCCTGGACCACGGTGCCTGGGGTCGGAGTCCTCCCTGACACTGCTGGTCCCAGTGTGTCCTGGGCCACAGTGCCTGGGTTGGAGTCCTCCCTGACACTGCTGGTCCTGTTCCTTCAGGCCTTGAAAGGCACTGTGCTGGCTCTGCCACTCATGTGGGAGATCTAGATTAAGCTTCTCCCTCTGGGTCTGGCCCCAGCCTACCCAGTCCTGCCCTAGCCTTTGCCTTTTGAGGTGTTTGAAGAAGGAGTAGCAGATGAATGAGCACTCCTCCCACCCTCAGTAAGGGCAGGGGAACCCAGATCCCTTGTTTTTGATGGTCATGTAGGGTTTCCTTATAATAAGATGCCATGATTGGGCCTGGCATGGTAGCCTAGTGGCTAAATCCTTGCCTTGCACATGCTGGGATCCCATATGGACACCGGTTTATGTCTCGGCACCCCACTTCCCATCCAGCTCCCTGCTTGTGGCCTGGGAAAGCAGGAGAGGATGGCCCAAAGCCTTGAGCCTGCACTTATGTGGGAAACCTGGAGGAAGCTCCTGGCTCCTGGCTTCGGATTGGCACAGCGCTGGCCGTTGTGGCCACCTGGGGAAAGAATCAACAGACGGAAGATCTTCCTCTTTGTCTCTCCTTCTCTTTGTATATCTGACTTTCCAATAAAAATAGATAAATATTTTTAAAAAGATGCCATGATTAATTTATGCCAATTCATTTAACTTTTTAATTTTTAAGGATTTTCTATATTTATTTGAAATGCAGAGTTATAGAGACAAGTGCGGAGAGAGGTCCTCCACACACTGGTTCACTCCCCAGATGGCCAAAAGCAATAGGCAGGGCTGAGCCAAGCTGGAACCAGGAGCCTGGAGCTTTATCTGGGTGTCCCGTGTGGGTCCAGGGGCCCAAGCTCTTGTGTCATCTGCTTTCGCAGGCGTGTTAGCAGAGAGCTGGATTAGAAGTGGAGGAGCTGGGTCTTGAACCAGTGTCCATACAGGATGCCAACAACTGCAAGCGACACTGGCCCCTGTGGTTCCTTCATTTTAAAACACTGTCAGGCTGACTGAATTTCAAGCTTTGTCAAGTCGGGTGGCCTGGCAGAGTCCATGATTCCCTTCATCCCTCGGGGTTTTCTTTGCAGCAGGGTCAGGTCAGCCCCAAGCTGCCTGCTTTGTCTGCCTTTAAATGTGGCTTGACCCAGCCCTGGTCAGGTCGATCCTGGAAGTTTTGGCCAAGGGAGGGGGAGACTGGAGGCAGGGGCATGAAGCACAGACTCAGGGCTGGGGAGGAATGCTTTCTGAAAGTTGATTATTATCATGGATTGCATATATGTATATTTTTAAAGATTTGTTTCAAGGGCACAGTGATGGAGAGATTGTCCATCCATTGGTTCCTTCCCTCGGAAGGTTTGGGCCGGGCTGAAGTCAGGAGCCAGGCACCCCGCCCTGGTTGCCTGCTTGGGCGGCAGGGTGCCGAGTGCTCAGTCCACATCCGTGAGAAGGAGGGCAGGAGGCAGGGCTGCCCGGACCTCAGCCAGCATCCCCATTCAGGCTGGGCGTCTTGCAGGTACTGCCCCAGCCTGCTGCCCTGTGGGCCAGCCCTGGGTTCCCTGTTTCTGATATTGCCAGGAACATCTGGTCACCTGCTGTCGGAGCCTCTTTCCCCACGTGAGGTCCTGTTGCTGACCTGGTTGTGTTTCTGGGTGGCACCATGTCTTCGTCTCTGAGACCCTCTGAGTTGGGTGGGGAGTGAGATGGCAAAGGAGATGATGTCACGGGAGAGCTTCTGGAGGGTCCAGGGCTTCGTGCAGTGTAAGCCACTTCTAGAGGGAGGTGGATCCACAGATCACAAAGGAGCTTCCAGGTGGAGCTGGGACAGGGCCGCTTTCCCCAGCCTGCCTGCCTCCTCGCCCACTCCCCTGGGCAGACGGCTCTTGATGGGGTTGGAACGCGAACTAAAGACAGGTGGGAACCTGCCTGGTGTGCTGTTAGTTTCATGAATCTAGTATTATTTTTTTTTAATTTACTTATTTTTATTTGAGAGGTATATTTTTACAGAGAGAGGAGGGGGAGAGACAGAGAGATTCGATCCCCAAATGGCCACAGCAGCCACAGTTGAGTTCATCTGAAGCCTGGAACCAGGAGCTGCTCCTGAGTCTCCCACATGAGCGCAGGGGCCCAAGGACTTGAGTTATTCTCTGCTGCTTTGTCAGGCCATAAGCAGGGAGCTGGATGGGAAATGGGGCAGCCGGTGGAAGAACTGGCATCCATATAGGATGCTGGCACTGCATCAGCTGACTGTGCCACCATGTCGGCCTCGTGATTCCAGTTTGTACGTCAGGTAGCGAGGCCTGCAGGTCACCTGGAGCCTGGCTCTCCCCCCTGTCCCTTGGTGCCGCTGCTGCTGCTGGCACTCCGGAGTTTAGTGGGACCATGCACTGATAGCTGTCTGCAGGCTGTGGGACCATGGCTGCTAGGGGGCTACACTCGTCAGGTCGCAGCCCCTGCGTGGTCAGTCACGTGTGTCTGTGTCCCATCTGTGTTGCTTGTCTTTCCCTAGTGTACTTGGTGCAGGAAATCCACCGAGCGGATATCCCGGTCCCCGAGGGTGAGGCCTGCCCCCCCGCGCCGCCGCTGAAGCAGGTCCTGGAGATGCAGGTGAGGCCCGGCCGTCAGCCAGGCTGGCCGACCCGATGGTGCCGCCTGTGCCCTGCCCCACCCCGTCTGCCCTGCTTGGCTGGGTGCTGTGGTGACCTCCCGGGGCCCTGGGCGGGAGACAGGCCGAGCAGGCTGGGCACGGCAGCTGTGTTTATCTGGAGGAAGGCGAGTGACACAGGCCGGGTGGATGCCCACAAGATGGGCCGAGGGCCGCGTGGGCAGCAGTCACCAGCCTGGCTGGGTTGGCTTGGTTGTGATGTCATCACTGCACGCTGGTTGCTCATGGCACAGCCCTGACTGGAGTGTGACGTCATTCGCTGTGTGAGCCTTCAGCGGCTAAGATGCTTTGCCGGTCTTCCGTTGCTCTGCTACCTGTTGCCAAGGATGCCTCTTTGTGAAACTTTACTTTGATTGTTTTGCATATAGTTTTTTATTAAGTAAGTTCAGTTTGTTGCCTTTTTTTTTTTTAAAGATTTTATTTATTTTATTGGAAAGGGTGATTTACAGAGAGAAACAGACAGAGAGATGTTCCATCCACTGATTCACTTCCCCAAATGGCCATAATGGCCAGATGGGCCAGTCCGAAGCCAGGAGCCTGTGGCTTCCTCTGGGTCTCCCACACTGGTGCAGGGTCCCAAAGGTTTAGGCCATCCTCCATTGCTTTCCCAGGTCACAAACAGGGAGCTGGATGGGAAGCTGAGCAGCTGGGATTAGAACTGGTGCCCACACAGGATCCAGGCACATGCGAGGTTAGGACTTTAGCTGCTGAGTCATTGTGCTGTGTCCTGACTGCTCCACGGCTGATCCGCTCTCTGCTTATGCCCTGGGAAAGCAGTGGATGAGGCCCCAGTGCGGGGGCTCCTGGACCCGTGTGTGAGGGCGAGGGGAAGCTCCTGGTTCTTGGCTTCCAACCAGTCCAGCTGGGGCTGTTGAAGTCACGTGGGAAATGAACCAGCAGAGGGAAGACTTTTCTTTCTCTGTGTGTTCTTTTGTGTCTCTGGTCAAATTCTGCCTTACAAACAAACAAACAAACAAATAAATCTTACACAGGAAAACATTCAAAATGCTATTCTCTAGTTTTTTTCTTTTTTCCAAAGTTAACTATCCAGTGCACTGGCATTCCGTTTAGTCACCCTACTGCGTACCGTGACCCTAGGATGGCTTCCTGTAGCTTAGTGCCTTCTGGCTTTGCCCATCCCTCCTTGTCCGCCTGCCTCCTGGCTCTGGGGACCACTCCGAGCCTCCTCCCCGCCCCCGCAACCCCAGCTCTTGGAACCCAGCTGCGCTCCTAACACCCCCAACTCCTGCTCCAGGAACCCTGCTGCGCTCCTAACACCCCCGCCTCCCTCCAGGAACCCCACTGCGCTCCTCACTTCTCCGTTGTTGCCTTCCTTTGAAGAGTTGGCGCAGGAGTGAGGTCCTGGGATGCTCTTCTCTGCTTGGCATCATGACCTCCAGTCCCCTCTGCTCTGTTGCAGTTGATGGGATTCTGTCCTTGTTTACAGCTGAGTAATACTCTGGTGCGAGTCTGCCCTGCCGTCCTTCCTGGCTGCTGTGGTTAGTTGGTGCTGCAGCAAACGTGGGAAGGCAGCTGGCTTTTAAAGAGTGGTGGCCCTTCTGGCTCTGTGCCCAGGAGTGGGATTGCTGCATCATACGTTAGTTCAAACTTTAGTTTTTTGAGGAACCATCATACTGGTTCCCACAGTCGCTGTACTAATAAATTAATTCTTTTTGAAGACTTATTTATTTTTATTGGAAAGATTTACAGAGAGAAAGATCTTTCATCTACTGGCTCACTCCCCAAGTGGCTGTAACAGCTGGAGCTGAGCTGATCTGAAGCCAGGAGCCAAGAGCTTTTTCTGGGTCTCCCATGTAGGTGCAGGGTCCCAAGGCTGTGGACCATACCCTACTGCTTTCCTAGACCACGTGCAGGGCGCTGGATGGGAAGTGGAGCAGCTGGGACACAAACCGGCACCCATATTTATGGGGTCCCAGCGTGTGGTTTTTAAAAACTTAAAACTGTGAGAGGCAGAGTGATGGATGGGAGTAGGGGCTGTGGCGAGGAGTGCATGCTCCTGCTGTGGCTGCCTTATCTAACTTCCGGCTTGGACACCTGCTGGTCTCCCATGCAGCTACTCAGCATGAGATGAGATGGGGTGCCTTCGGGGTGCTGGGGTTGTCGATGCACCTGCTGGCTTTGGCTCTGGTGGGCAGGTGCCTGGAGCTGGTGACTGCGTTCATTTCAGGAGCAACTGCAGAAGCTCGAGGTGGAGCTGCGGGAAGTGACCAAGAACAAGGAGAAGCTGAGGAAGAACCTGCTGGAGCTGATTGAGTACACGCACCTGCTGCGGGTCACCAAAGGCTTTGTCAAACGCAACGTGGAGGTACCGTGTGCTGCGGGCTGGGAGCAGTGCTCCGTGGTTGGTTCACGCACAGCTCTGTGCACTTGCACTAGAGCTCAGCTTGGATTTTCTCTGGATTTTGTGAAATTTGAAAAGGCCTTAGCAGCGTTTCTGTGGGTTGGTTGCATCTAGCAATAAAAATGCTTCTTATTTGTGAAAATGGTTATTTTGCAGTAGATAAAAGGCTTCCCTCTGTCCACTCCTTCTGTTTTTGTTTGTTTTAAAATGTTTTTATTTATAAGGCAGAGAGCCAGGGATCTTTTACCTGCTGCCTTACTTCCCACGTGCCTTCAGCAGCCAAGGCTGGGCCAGACTGAAGCCGGGACCTGGAAGTGCGTCTGGTTCTCGTGGGTGGCAGAGTCCTTCCCTGCTGCTGCCAGGGAGTGCCTGGATGGGAAGAGACCCCGAGACTCGGCCAGGCACTTGGCCCCGGGAACTGGTGGCTTGCATGTGCTTGCTGGGATGCTACCCGCCCCCCAGCCCACTTCGTGAAGAGCCTGTTTGTAGTTGTGAGGAAAACTCAGCGGTGCAGGCTGACTTGTGGGGTCGCAGGTGTGCTCTGTGACGGCCACACTTCCTGGGGGCTCCCGGGAGCCTGCCCTGGCCACTGGCTGAGGCGCTGACTCGAGCCTCAACTAGCCCTCCAGTGTCCGAGTCCGGCGCGGGGCCGAGCCAGGTCACATGCAGCCTTGGCACCCGGGGTTAAGGGGTTGGGTGAGATGAGCTGAGAAAACCTGTGTGCGAGTGAAGCTTGGCTTTGCTGGACATGCTTGGCTTGCTCTGTCTCTTTCAGTTTGAACCCACCTACGAAGAATTCCCGTCCTTGGAGAATGAGTCGTTGCTGGACTACAACATGCAGAGGCTGGGAGCGAAGCTGGGGTAGGTGGTGATGGGAACATGCCATGTGTTACCTGCATGGGTGTCGGCCAGGGGAAGCCTCCCTGGGTGAAAGGTGCTGTCCAGGGTGTCGCTGGCAGCGAAGTGTCAGGTGCTGCTGGCCAGAAACGCAAGGATCAGGCTGTGCTCGGGATTTCTTGACCCTGCTTTATAAGGCTCTCCTCGTTACTCACTTAAACTGATAGTAACCCATCTCCTCATGTTGTGATTTTTACTAGTCATGAATTTAAAAAACAAATGTGTAGTTGTGAGCTTAGGTGTTTTGATTCTGTCCTGGAGGGAGTTGGCGAGCCCAAGCATGTGTTCTCAAGAGTGGCGGTTTATACCCACCATGGGCCTGGCACACCCGCCGGGGCTTGGTACACTGCCGGGGGTCTGACACAACCAGCATGGGCCTGGCACACCCGTCAGGGCCTGGCATACCCACTGTAGGCCTGGCATATCCCCGGGGCCCGCCACACCTGGTATGGGCCTGGCACACCCAGCATGGACCTGGCATATCCGTCAGGTTCTGGTATACCCAGCATGGGCCGGGCACACCTATCAGGGCCCGGTGTACCCAGCATGGGCCTGACATACCTGCTGCAGACCTGGCACACCCACTGTGGGCCTGGAGTACCCACTCTGGGGCTGGCACACCTGAATGGGGCCTGGCACAATGCCGCAGTCTTGCACACTCACAAGGGGCCTGGCATACTGTGGGCGTGGAGTGTTCTCCTAGCCTGTGCCCGCTTACGTTTGCCTCTCAGTGTGGCTTTTGTTCATGGGTATTTCAGTGACTGTGCAGGTAATGTCAGTTTACGAAGAAAAGATTGATTTAAGAGGGAGAGAGGTCTGCTGTCTTCTGGCTCACTGGCACACAGTCAGGCCGGCCCAGGCAGGTCTACCCCTTGGTCCCGGGCCCTCCTCTGCTGTTTGCTCAGGCGCACTGGCAGCTAGCTGGGGCAGAAGTGGAGCATGTGGGACTCACACCACCACACAAGAGGATGCCAGCACACAAGGGTCGCTTTAATTTGCTAGGCCATGATGCTGGCCCCCATAGTGTAAACTTACGCTCCAGACCCAAGGGGATTCTCACCCCTGCTGGTCAGTTCTCAGAGCAGATTCCCCTTCCTCCAGGCGTATGCCCCAGCTTTGGGGGTGCTGGGTTCACCCCCACCTCCTCTGCCCCCAGCGGCTGCCTGGCCACCCTGCCTCCCCTCATGCTGGACTTGCTGCTTGCATCTCTAGGCTCAGCTGTAATTTAGAACATCCTGTCTGTGGGGTGGGCATTGTGGTGCAGTGAAACCTGCACTGGAGAAGGTGGCGTCTCACCTGGGAGCCTCTGGTTCAAGCCTTGGCTCATGTGCCCAGAAGGGCAGTGGGAAATGGTGTCTGTGCTTGGGCCCCTGCCACCGGCGGGAGACCAGGAAGGAGCTCCAGGCTCCTGGTGCAGGTGTCTGAAACAGCAGATGGCAGATCTCTCTCCATGTCTCTCTCGTTGCTGAGTAATTCCCGGAGCCTTCACGGAGACCCAGCAGGGCTGGGGCGCCCTCGAGCCCGAGCTGACGTCTGCGCCACCCCTTGGCTGGGGTTCCCAGCATCTGCTGCCTCCGCTCCACCTAGGTGTTCTCTGTGTCTGCTAGGTTCGTGTCCGGCCTGATTAACCAAGGGAAGGTGGAAGCCTTTGAGAAGATGCTGTGGCGGGTCTGCAAGGGCTACACCATCCTGACCTATGCAGAGCTGGACGAGCCGCTCGAGGACCCCGAGACGGTGAGTTCTCTCGGGCCACCTGCTGCCCAGGACTGATGGACGCGAAGCCGTGGCTGGCTGAGGAACGCTCTCCTCCTGAGCCTGCAGCACGCTGCGTGTCCTCCCGAGGCCCATGCTCCGACCGTTGGGGTCAGGGCATGGATGTGGGTACCCAGGCCGCCCTGAGCCTCAGCCTCCTGTCGCAGGAGAGGGCGTGTTTCAGAACCACATGGCCTCGGTGTTCGTCCTCCTGGCAAGATTCCTTAGGTGTTCCTGGGCCACTCCTTTCTGGGTTTGACCGTGTTTCCCATGATCGCGTTCGGGCCGTGTGTCCTTGGTGGGCGGTGGTGTCATGTCCATCTCAGCATACCTTGCCCGCTGGCTGTGGTTCCATGTCCTCTGCCTGGAGTGTTCGCTTCGCTCACTGCCGGATGCAGTCTTGCCCTGTGTGCTTCGTCTGTGAGGATGAAAGTCACTGGGTCAGGGTGTACCTGCAGCGGACTTTCAGTCTAGATACTCCCCATCTTATGAAGCTGTCCTGCCCACACTTGGCTCGGGGGTCAGCTGTGTCCTGTCCAGGCCCACTCACAGCTCCGTCAGCTGTGTCCAGGCCCACTCACGGCTCCGTCAGCTGTGTCCTGTCCAGGCCCGCTCACGGCTCCGTCAGCCGTGTCCAGGCCCACTCACAGCTCCATCAGCCATGTCCAGGCCCACTCACGGCTCCGTCAGCCGTGTCCAGGTCCGCTCACAGCTCCATCAGCCATGTCCAGGCCCACTCATGGCTCCGTCAGCTGTGTCCAGGCCCACTCATGGCTCCATTGGCCGTGTCCTGTCCAGGCTCGCTCACGGCTCTGTCAGCACTTCTCAGTACTTGTCTGTGTAGGTTGAGGGTGTGACAGCTCCAGCACCCCAGGGCTTGCCCAGGTCTCTGTTGCCGTGTTTGTGGCTCTTTCGCTCAGTGGTGGAGCACCAGGCTCTTGGTACTCAGGCCTGGAGGGTGAATTTTCGCCTGCCACCCCCTCACTTCCTCTCCTTCAACTGTGCGTTCTGCTTGGCTGACGGGTGCACCTGCCTGGCTTCCCTGTCCCGTGCCCAGGCCCAGTTTCTCTTCTCTTTGCCCTTTGTGCCCACGTGTGACTTCCTGTGGAAGCACTGGGCCCTGGAGGTGGGCCTCGCTTTGCCCTGCCTAAACACAAGGCTTTTCTGCCACCCGTGGCTTCGTGGATGGCCTGTAAGCCATGTCCGGCCCCAACTGCCCTCCCCAGGGCCGTCTCCACTCAAGGCTAAGCCCCCTGCAGATCTGGTAGCACTTCCTGTCTTGGCACCCCTGACTCCTCAGCCAGCCTGTGCCCCACCGCTGCCCCAGCACGGTCCCCAGCCTCACTCCTCTGCTTCATTCACCAGCAGCTTCGTGTGAAACTCAGTCAGGACCGAACCACACAGAGGCTGTGGCTGTCCCTGTCCTGCCCCTGCACAGGACCCCTCGGCCACCATCTCGCGAGGTCTCCATGCCCGCCGTTTCCTGGGGGGAAGGCTCATCCTGCACTGTCCACCCAGCTCACTCCTCTGCCCAGTGCCGCCTCTCCAGGAGGCCCTCCAGGCTTGCCCTTCCTCTGTCTCCCACCCCCCATCTTCTTTCTTTCTTTTTTTTTTTTTTAATAATGATTCCATGGTTGATCAGGGTGGGGAGGATTGAGCTTTAGAGAAAATTGATGAACTCATTGCTTCGGAATTTGCTGTTTCTTGTTCCTAGGGGAAGGGGAGAGACAAAGGGGGAACTACTCAGGACTTTCCACACGTCCCAGGACCCAGGGATGAGGAACCGCCACCTCATATCCACCAGTCTGCATGTGTACATACTCCGAGGGTTCTGTCCAAGTGGCTTGGGCAGTTCTGAAATGCTGCCAGTGTCCTCTATCCGAGGATGGAGTCACCCTCCCATCTTTTTTCTTGTTCTTTTCCTTTTCCCTTTTCTTTCTCATCTACTTTAAAGGCAGGACAAGAACAAGAGCAAGCCAACTCCTCCATCTGCTGATTCATTCCCCAGATAGTCCCGCACATGCCTGCAGCAATGTGCCAGGCCAGGTGGGAGCCAGGAGCCAGGCACTTGGGCCAGCTCTCTCGAGGGAGCTGCCGTCCACTGATGCATCCAGGGTTTCTGTCAGCAGGAAGCTGGATCCTAAGCGGTGCAGTGGACCTGAACCAGCACCATGTATGGGATGAGGTCTCCCTCAGTGGCCCCGTCCGCCTTGCCTTCACCCTGGTTTCTCCACAGCTCTGATTGTTGCCTGCCTCCCCTCCTGGGCCCGGGATTTGTATCTTGTCTGTTCATTGCTGTGTCCACCACAGCGCCTGGACCTGTGTGTTGCTGGTTGCATGTGTTGTATTCTCTGAATCGCATGCTCTGAGGACAGAGCCTCTGCCCTAGCCCACAGGGTTTAGGTCTGTGGGCCTGGCTCACCTGTCTGGGCCCGTCAACACGTGCTCTTGTTTTGGTTGTTCGTGCTGAAAGGTGTCCGACTGTCTGTGCTGTCCATTCGTACCTGTTGAGCTTGCAGCCAGTGGCTGTGTGACCTGAGCCCGTGTCTTCCCCTGATGTGTGCTCAGGATCAAGAGCTGCCACCTTGACATTGCGCCTGGCACCATCTGACCACAGGCTGCAGAGCTGCCCAGGGACAGGAGAGGGCTTGACTGTGGGTGTCCGATGCCCCAGTATCTACTCTACATGGGACAGGAAAGGCCCTGTATGTTGCTTGTGGGGTGTCTCAGTGACTGGGTGGACTCGCGTGTACAGGATCTGCAGGAATGGAGCACTGAGGATTAGCCAGCCCCTTGCGCCCTAACTCGGGGATGGGCTTTGAGCTACGACTGTCCGTTTGCCTCTGCAGGGAGAAGTGGTGAAGTGGTGTGTGTTTTTAATCTCCTTCTGGGGAGAGCAGATTGGCCACAAGGTGAAGAAGATCTGCGATTGGTAAGAAATGCTCCATTTCCCATTCTCCCCTGTGCTCACTAGCCTCACTAGCCTCCCCATTCTCCCCTCTGCTCACGTCTGCAGAGAGGGACGTTACAGGATTTCCAGGTTCCCTGTCCCGAGCCTTCGGTCACCCTCAGCTGCACCCACGTTGTGCCATCACCACAGGGCCCAGTAGCATGCTATGGGCGTTGCTGTCCCGTGCACTTGGCATGTCCTTGCTGGGATCACCTGGACAAGTGGTCAAGCCTCGATTTCCTTTTCTGTAAAAGGGGAGAGCAGTTCTTTTCTTGGAGTCCTGAGGGTCTAACAGAGGAGGCAGATATAAGCGGTGGTAGGGCATGGAGCCCCTGTGCACATGAGGTGTGGCGGCAGGAAGCACCTGTGACCTTGCCCTCTGCCTGATGGACACCTGAGCAGCAGCAGCATGGGGGTGCTGCTCGCCACCCTGCCCAGAGCGGTGGGCTGCCCTGCTGCTGTGGTGGGGGTGATCTCAGCCTGAGAAGGCTGGTGCATTTCAGAGCCGGAATTGCAAATGAGCTGTCAGGGGTCACTGAGGGTGGGTGGGATTTGGATATGGGTGAGCGTGTGCCCAGTGTGTGGGGTTCAGCCAGTGCAAGCTGCTGTCCTCATAGTGGCTGCCCATGGCAGGGCCCGTGTCCCTGCACACTGGCTCCCTTGTTTTCCCAGAGGCTGCTGGGCCCCAGGGCAGCTCCAAGCCGCCTGAGCTGAGGCTCTTGGATTCTGCTTTGCAGCTACCACTGCCACGTCTACCCCTACCCCAGTACTGCTGAGGAGCGCAGAGAGATCCAGGAGGGGCTGAGCACCCGCATCCAGGACCTGTACACTGTGAGTCCCCTTGCTGCGCCAGGCCGTCGTGCTGGGCGTGGGCACCTCCGCCCCTGCCATTCCCGCCTCGGGCGCTGCCTTACTAGGCTGCGAGGCACCTGGGTGGTTGTGGTGGGAAGTTAGAAAGGTCCTCTGGTGGTTTTGATGTGTTGGGTGGCTGCTGCTGATGATGATGCAAGGCACGTCGGCCCTGTGTGGTGTGGCGGGGACCATGTGGCCTGAGCTTTCAGTTCCTGCTTGCCCTGGTGTCCGTGAGGCATCCTCCTGGTGACGGGCAGCTGGAAGCAGGTGCTGACCCGTCTGTGCAAAAGGGGATTTTGCAGACAGAAATGGCCCAGGATGGGGGGGCGACTGGGGGTATTGGTGGCAGGGCCTGGCCCAAGCTCAGGAATAACAAAGACCCTGGGAGGGAGCCGTCTGCCCCAGGGTGTGTCCTGTTGAGAGGTGCTTCCGAGGCTCCCTAGCTGAGCCGCCATCCCTGCCCGCTCCCTGGCACTGTGCTGCGTGAGGCAGGCTCTGGGTGACCCCGCTGGAAGTGTGTGTCTGCTCTCCCAGGTGCTACACAAGACCGAGGACTACTTGCGGCAGGTGCTGTGCAAGGCCGCCGAGTCCGTGCACGCCCGCGTGGTCCAGGTGAAGAAGACAAAGGCCATCTACCACATGCTCAACATGTGCAGCCTGGACGTGACCAACAAGTGCCTCATCGCTGAGGTCTGGTGCCCCGAGGCCGACCTGCCTGCCCTGCGCCAGGCGCTGGACGAGGGCTCGGTAAGGCACGGCGTGCAGGGAGGACTGGAAACTGGGTGCCTTAGGGAGCTGGCAGCGGGAACCCGCTGTTTTGCATAAGGGGTACATTCCCATGGTTTGGAGTAGAAGGAATACAGAACCATGTCACAGGCCTGGGGCCTGGCTCCTCCGCCCGGTGTCACAGTCCTTGTGGTGCATGGCTCCTCCACCCGGTGTCACAAGCCCAGAACGTCACTCTTCTGGTCCAGTGTCACATGCCCGGTGGTGTGTGGCTCCTCTGCCCAGTGTCACAGTCCCCGTGGTGCGTGGCTCCTCTGGTCCAGTGTCACATGCCCGGTGGTGCGTGGCTCCTCCACCCGGTGTCACAAGCCCAGAATGTCACTCTTCTGGTCCAGTGTCACATGCCCGGTGGTGTGTGGCTCCTCCGCCCGGTGTCACAGTCCTCGTGGTGCGTGGCTCCTCCGGTCCAGTGTCACATGCCCGGTGGTGCGTGGCTCCGGCCTGTGGTCACTCAGCAGCAGATGTGCTTTTCCAAGGCTATTCATGAACAAAAGATTTTTTTTTTCTTTTAGTAATAACTTTTTAGTATTCTGGGCAAGCACCATGCCTTACATGGCTAGCTCCCCGGTCATTTCGGTGGTTTCCATTTGCTCAGTAACTGTAGTGACCTCCGACTGACCTGACGTGTCCCCAACCAGTCCATCCGTGGGGCGGTTCCCAGTGCAATTGCTGGGTTGATTGCACAGTCACTGCCTTCCACTGCAGGGTGTGTGGATGTGTTTTCTTGTTTCTTTTGAGATTTATTATTTATTTTTATTGGAAAGGCAGATATACAGAGAGGAGGAGAGGCAGAAAGATTTTCCCATCCGCTGGTTCATTCCCCAAGCAGTCTCAATGGCTGAAGCTGAACCAATCCGAAGCCAGGAGCCTCTTCTGGGTCTCCCACGCGGGTGCAGGGTCCCAAGGCCTTGGGCTGTCCTCGACTGCTTTCCCAGGCCACAGGCAGGGAGCTGGATGGGAAAGGGAGCAGCTGGGATTAGAACTGGCGCCCATATGGGATCCCGGCGCGTGCAAGGCAAGGACTTTAGGCTCTAGGCTGCCGTACCGGGCCCTTCTCATGTTCTGCTTTTGAACTGCCTATTCGTACCAGTGCCAGCTTTCTGCTACGCTGTTGGTGTTTTTCTGACTAATCTTTCTACCTTCTGGGAGTCCACGGCCCCCACGTGTTTCCTCACACAGCCCTTGCAGAGGAGCCTTGTCCTGCCTGCTCAGTCCAAGTGTGGACTTCCCCATAACATGGGCCAGGCAGGCAGCCTGGGTGCGAGGTGACTGGCAGCCCGGGTGCGAGGTGACTGGCAGCCCGGGTGCGAGGTGACTGGCAGCCCGGGCTGTGAGGTGATTGGCAGCCCGGCTGTGAGGTGACTGGCAGCCGGGCTGTGAGGTGACTGGCAGCCCGGCTGTGAGGTGACTGGCAGCCCGGCTGTGAGGTGACTGGTGGTTGTTTCCTTTCCTTCATGTGACAGCGAGAGAGTGGCGCCACACTTCCCTCCTTCATGAACACAATTCCAACCAAAGAGACGCCCCCGACCCTGATCCGTACCAACAAGTTCACCGAGGGCTTCCAGAACATTGTGGACGCCTACGGGGTGGGGAGCTACAGAGAAGTGAATCCAGGTGGGGTGCCCAGCACATGTCCCGGGGTTTGAGGAGGCAGGCTCGTGCTGCATCTCTGTCATCTGAGGTGGTGTGCAGCTGTTGGCTGGCCCTCACTGCCCTGCCTGGAGGAGGTGGGCTCATGCCCCGTCCCTGTGCTGGCCTGTCACACGTCCCCCGTCCCATGCTGGCCTGTCACACGTACCCCGTCCCGTGCTGGCCTGTCACACGTCCCCTGTCCCATGCTGGCCTGTCACACGTACCCCGTCCTATGTCGGCCTGTCCCACGAACCCTGTCCTGTGCTGGCCTGTCACACGTCCCCCGTCCCATGCTGGCCTGTCACACGTCCCCCGTCCCATGCTGGCCTGTCACATGTCCCCTGTCCCATGCTGGCCTGTCACACGTACCCCGTCCTATGTCGGCCTGTCCCACGAACCCTGTCCTGTGCTGGCCTGTCACACGTCCCCCGTCCCATGCTGGCCTGTCACACTGTCTCCCCCCCACAGCCCTCTTCTCCATCATCACCTTCCCCTTCCTGTTCGCGGTGATGTTCGGCGACTTCGGACACGGCTTTGTGATGTTCCTGTTTGCCCTCCTGCTGGTGTTGAATGAGAATCACCCCAGCCTCAGCCAGTCCCAGGAGGTACACATGGGAACGCGCCGACTTGGCAGGTCCCACTGGGGTGCATTGGCCAGTGTTGGGGTCTCCCATGGGGGTGGCAGGACCCCAGGGACTTGGGCGCCCCCTGCTGCCTCCCAGGCTTTGCAGCAGGAGCTGGGCCCGGGAACGGAGCAAGCGCTCAGATATGGGCTGCCAGTGCTTTAGCTTCTTCCCTGCTGGGCCGGGAGGAGATGAGTGGTAACCGCATGGTTCAGGCGTGAGGCCTGTCACCTAGATGTTGGGGTCGGGGCTGGGGGCTGGGGGTGCCCGAGGGGCGTGGCCATGGCCCCCAGGAGCCTAGCTGCCCGTGGCCCTCGCCTCTCCCAGATCATGCGAATGTTCTTCAACGGCCGCTACATCCTGCTGCTCATGGGCCTGTTCTCAGTGTACACCGGCCTCATCTACAACGACTGCTTCTCCAAGTCCATGAACCTGTTTGGCTCTGGATGGAACGTGTCCGCCATGTATAGCGCCAGCCACACTGCGGCAGAGCGGAAGAGCCTGGTGCTGTGGAAGTAAGTGTCCGCTGCCGAGCTGTGGCCGCCGGCACTGCCCGCCGTCTCGTCCTGCCTCTCACTGCCGCCTCACATGCTTTGTGTTACAGCGACAGTGTCGTCAGGCACTCCCGGGTTCTGCAGCTGGATCCCAGTGTTCCTGGGGTGTTCCGAGGCCCCTACCCGTTCGGCATTGATCCAGTGAGTGCCCTTCCCTCGCGGTCACCTCCTTCCTGTGTCCCCGCTGGTTCTCACGGTAGCAGTGCGTGAGGGTGGGTGCTCTGGCCGTTCCCTGCTGCGTGTCAGTGGCTCATGGAGTGTCCTGGGCGCGTCATCTGTGTGTGCAGTCGGGCGGTTGAGTCCCCTTGGGGAGCGGGGTTCGTGCCCAGGCTAAGCCAGCCTCAGAGAGCTATATCCAGGCGCGCTTCTTTTTCCTTTCCTTTCTTTTCCTTTTTTAAAGTTTTTCTTCAGAGAGACAGAATGAGACAGACAGCTCTTATGTGCTGGTTCACTGCCTAGCTTCCCACAGTGTCTGAGGGGGGCCAGGCCAGAGGCGAGAGTTGGGAATGCCATGCATGTTCGCATGTGGGCCCCGGGTCCCTGAGCCATCAGCCGCTGCCCCCGGGAACCATGGAGCGGATGCTGTTGCTCCAGACTCTTTGTATGTGTGAGTGAGTTTGTACTCTGAAGTTAATTGTGTGATGTTTCAGAGCTAACAGGGAGCTGGACATCTTCCTGGGGCCTGCTCGTGCAGTTGGTTGACTGGAAAGTGTCTGTAGAAGGGAACTGAACAGTAGTCCCTAGGGATCTAGAACCCCCACTCCCATGAGGCTCAGGCCTAGGATATGGACCACCTGGAGGTGAGGTGCAACCCTGCATTCTGCAGAGGGGCTTAGCATCCCTGAGTGGGCTTGTAGGGAGGTGGGCGTCCCCGGGCGGTCCCCGCAGGGAGAGACCCTCGGAGCCGTGCGTGGGGCTGCAGGTGCTTTGAGGAGTGGCTCAGGAGGTGAGATTGGTGGAAAACTTTCAGATCCATGCGTTGTGTGCTTACAGGCCACAGTGCTATAGTATGTGTGGAATTTTTATTTACTTGTTTATTTTGCAAGCAGCATGTCAAAATTTCTCATGTGGGAGTTCCTGAGACTTACTGCTATTGCTTCTCTGGTTTAAACCAAAAAGATAGAAGGGGCTGAATGTATCAGAGGTCGTTCCGACACAGGTCCCATAGAAGGTGGCATCGGAAAGAGGGGGAAGCCATCACAGCTGACGCGGTGCGGGTTCCTGGCGACAGATCCACCTGAGCAGAGGACAGCTCTCTGCTACATAAAACATCACCAGGAACGGTGCCTCGAGGCTCAGGTCTCGTGTTCCCATCATGACCCATTCCTGTCCCGACATTCCCTGGAGGGCCCCAGCGTCACCATGATGCCCCTGGGTTCCTCGGGGCTCTGTTAGGACCACGTCTCTGCGTTTTCTCTAAGCTGAGGATCCCGCACGCTCACGGGCAGTTCAGCTTGGCCTTGATCCCGACACCCTTCCTCCTTCTCCTCTGGACCACGGGGCCCCTGGGAGCCATCTTTCCACACCCCCAGACTGTTGAGGGGGACCTGCTGGTCCAGGGCGAGGGGGTGGCTGGAGGGTTGAGCAGCAGCTTGCTGAGATCCTTGCTAATGTTCCCAAGACCTCAGGACTGTGTCCTGTGGACACCCACCAGGGCTAGGGGCAGGGCTGGGCTCACGGTGGTCAGGTGTGGCAGTGCTGGGCTCCGGTCACTCCTCAGCAGCCTGGACAGTGAGCCCGCCCCCAGGTGGGTGCTTTCTGCACCACAGTAACCTGAGTTCCTGTGGTTTTGCACAAAGTCTGTGCGCACAGGGAATTGCACACGTTACGCCTCATGGCAGGGTTCCCACGGCTTCGGCCTCCAACTCTCTCATTCAGCCCCCAGGAGGTACCACAGTGGCTCCGTGGAGACCTGGGTTGAGTTGCCAGCTCGAGGGGAGGGCCTCTCTGCTCTAGAGAAACAAAGTGGGTGTGACGGTACCCCATGTTAGGCTGCTGCCTGGGACGTGTCAGCCCTGTCTGTGCTGGCAGGAGGCCTGGCCACTTCGCCGTCCGTCCAGCTTTCTGCTCATCTGCCCAGGAGGCGCTCGGGAGCCCAGGTGCCGGAGCGCTGCCACCCATGGGGGAGGCCAGGACAGAGTTGCAGGCTCCTCGCTAGGACCTAGCCCAGCTGTGGCTGCAGCTGTTCACGGGTGGAAAAATCTCCTCTCTTGTTCTGCTTTTCAAATAAGTGAATCTTGACAAAGAAACAGTTCTCTTTGCCAGCAGCCTGCTCCTCTCTGTCTCAGTCTGTCCCTGCTTGGGAGCCACTGCTGGCCACTTGGGTCCTGGCCAGGTTCTGTGGACAGGTGGCTGTGGAGACCCCAACTTGGGTCTGACCCCCACGCCGAGATGCTGTCAGGGCTGTGTTGCCCACAACTGTGTCCCTGGGCAAAACAGGGAAGCTCTTGGCATTCCTTTCCAGCCCCAAATACTAATTCTACAATTTTAGCCAACAACCAGGTTTTTCCTGTCCTATAGAGGCCCTGTTTCTCTTGTCGTAGTTGAGCTGTGGGGAGGACCGGGGTGATTCGTCATGCGACCGGGCGCTAGAGGGGCTGCGATCAGAGCTGTCCTGTGCTTGGTCCTTGGCTCAGCCTGGTTCTTTCCTGATATATTTATTTCATTAAGTTTTTTTTTGTTTATTTGGAAGGCAGAGTTACAGAGAGATCTTCCATCTGGCAATTTACTCCTCAAATGGCCTCTTTGATTGAAACTTGGCCAGGTCAAAGCTAGGAGCCTGGAACTTTTTCCGGGTCTCTCATGTGGGTGCAGGGACCTGAACACCCAGGCACATTCGCAAGGAGCTGGATTAGAAGTGGAGCAGCCAGGACTTGAGCCAGCGCCTGTAAGGGGTGTTGGTGCTGGAGGCGGCACTGGAGAGGCTTAGCCAGCTATCCCACAGGGTCGGGCCCTGTTTTCACTTTTCTGCTCCCCGGCTGAGCTGTTACAGAACCCCCAGGTCAGGGAATAGCACCCGCCTTGAGCGTGTTCCAACCTGCCACCCCCCGCCCCCTGTGCTTTGGTGTCTGAGGATCTTCGGCTCTCTGCACCCTACCACTCTCATCTCTCACTGGTGTTCCCCCCGGGCATCTGCGCCCGGGCCCGTGTCTCTAGCCTGCAGTGTGCTGCTCTGCTGGCACCCGTGAGCCTGGCCTGAGGCCTCCCGCTGCCCTTCTCTGTAGGCTGACGACTGCTGCCTGCCCCTGCTGAAGGAAGATCTCCCACCCTGTTTTGTTTTTAGATTTGGAACTTGGCCACGAACCGTCTCACTTTTCTAAATTCCTTCAAAATGAAAATGTCTGTGATCTTAGGAATTATTCACATGACTTTTGGCGTCGTTCTGGGAATATTTAACCATTTGTAAGTATATATTCTTAAAGCAATCCTTGTACTATAAGCCAGGTTTGGCGTTTCCTAAGCCTTGCCTCTTGGTGGCGGGCTGCACGGGTTGGGTGAGAGTGACCATTGTGGTGCCCGGCTTGTGGCATCGTTCAGAATCCGTGTGGTCTCAGAGAGTGCCCGATCTGGCCGGTGCTTCCTGAGTGCAGGCTTGGGCCGGGCACGGAAGACATGGCAGTGTGGGCGCTGGAAGGTTTCTGTCCTCCAGAGCTTGTGCTCAAGTGGAGACATACACCATGTAGACATGTATTCGTTTCCAGAGTCAACATTTAGAAAAGATTTACCTGTAAGAGAGTGATGGAGAGGGAAGCGCGCGCGCGCACACACACGCAGAAATAGCGATCTTCCATTTGCTGTTCACTCCCCAAATAACTGCAGCGGCCAGGGCTGGGCCAGGAGCCCAGGCAGGTCTGCAGCCAGGAGCCAGGAGCTCACCCAGCTCTGACACGTGGGTGGCAGGGCCAAGTACTTGGCTGGCTTCTGCTGCTTTCTTGGGAGCATGGGTAGGGAGCTGGATGGGAGGCGGAGTGGCTGCCAGCCAAATGGCACTCTCGTATGGGACGCTGGCATCCTGGTGGTGCCCGCTGGGGCTGGGCCCTGCTCTGTACTTGGCCACTGTGGCTCTCCAGGCACTTCCGGAAGAACTTCAACATCTACCTGGTCTCCATCCCGGAGCTGCTGTTCATGCTCTGCATCTTCGGCTACCTGATCTTCATGATCATCTACAAGTGGCTCGTCTACTCGGCCGAGACGTCGCGCACGGCACCCAGCATCCTGATCGAGTTCATCAACATGTTTCTGTTCCCTGCCAGTCCCACCAGCGGTCTCTACCGGGGCCAGGTGGGTGCTCCTCTCCGCACTGTGAGCCCCCGCCGGGGCCAGGGGGTGCTCCTCTCCGCCCTGTGAGCCCTTCACCCTGTGGGAGGCTGCAGCCAGTTCCCGCTCCCAGGGGAGGGACACATCGCAGACGGTTTCTCCTCATGTTCCGTGCCTGCTGTGCTATCCTGCCGGGCTCACCCCGAGGACTCCGGCTTCCCTTACGGGTGCATGCCTGTGCCCCGTGCACTTTGTAACTTTTCTTTACATCTCTCCTGTTCATAATTTTCTTTTTCTTTTCTTTTTAATATTTATTTTTATTGCGAAGTCAGATATACAGAGAGGAGGAGAGACAGAGAGGAAGATCTTCCGTCCATTGATTCACTCCCCAAGTGATGGCAATGGTCAGAGCTGAGCCAATCTGAAGTCAGAAGCTTGGATCTTCCTCCAGGTCTCCCACACAGGTGCAGGGTCCCAAGGCTTTGGGCCGTCCTCGACTGCTTTGCCAGGCCACAAGCAGGGAGCTGGATGGAAAGTGGAGCTGCCAGGATTTGAACTGGTGCCCATATGGGATCCTGGCGCGTTCAAGGCAAGGACTTTAGCCACTGAGCCATTGCTCCAGGCCCTAGATTTAGTTATTTATCTGCAAGAGTTAGAGAAGTAAAAATTTTCCATATTTTAGTTTACTCTTTCCATGGCTGTAACATCTAGGGATGGGCCATATTCCTCAAATAGTCTATAATAATAATGATCAAATTGGGGCCCACGTGGTGGCATAATCAGCCAATCTTGCTTTCAGAGCTGGCACCATATGTGGCTGCTGTTGTACTGCCTGTGCAGCTCCTTCTTATGGGCTGCGAAGGCAACACTGGGTGGCTGCAGCCCATGAATCCCTGCGTCCTTGGGGGACCTGGAGGAAGCCCCTGGCGCCTGGCTTCAGATCAGCCCCGCTTTGCTGTGACCACCTGGGGAGAGCACCAGCGGATGACGACTGAGTTCTCTGTTTGTCCCACTCTGATTTAAAAAAAATTTTTTTTTGAAGATCTATTTTTTATTAGAAAGGCAAATTTACAAAGAGAAGGAGAGACAGAAAAATCTTTGATCTGCTGGTTCACTGCCCAAGTGGCTGCAATGGCTCGAGCTGAGCTGATCTGAAGCCAGGAGGCAGGAGTCTCTTTTGTGTATTCCTCGGGGGTGCAGGTTCCTAGGTTTTGGGCCGTCCTCTGCTGCATCTCCCCAGGCCACAGGCAGGGAGCTGGATGGGAAGCAGGGCCGCTGGGACATGAATCAGCACCCACTGGGGATGTGGTGCTTGCAGGAGGAGGCTTAGCTTGTTGAGCCACCACTCCAAGCCTAAATTCTGGCTTTCAAGTAAAAAAAAATGTGTAGTTATACTATATTTATAGTTCATTTATATACATTTATTTGTAATATAAATATATTTATAAATCTTTAAAAACAAATAATAATCAGGCCTCCATAAGCCCCAAGAATGTTGGCTTATGTTTTCCAGTCCAGTGTTTTCAGATAATTACTAGCTGGGGTTTGACCTTCTGGAATTTTCCTCTGATTGTCTTGCCTGTCTGCTGTGTCCTGAGGGCTGCCCCTGAGTTGAGGTGGTGGGAAGAAGCGGATGTGCCTGGCAGCTGTGCCTCGCCGAGGTTTGCAGAGCCTGTGTCCGGCAGCTCTGCATCGAGGGCCTGGCCTGGCCCCCACGCCCTCCCCTTGTGCCCCCGTAGGAACACGTGCAGAGGCTGCTACTGGGCATCGTCATCCTGTCGGTCCCCGTCCTCTTCCTGGGGAAGCCCCTGTTCCTGCTGTGGCTACACAACGGGCGCAGCTGCTTCGGCGTGAACCGGGTGAGTGTGAGCTGTGTGTGAGCTGAGGCTGCCGATGTCAGGCAGGATTCGGGGCAAGGCCAGGCTGTGATGTCACTGCCAAGGCTGCCTTAGAGGGAGGTGGGGGCCGCTGGCTGCGCTGGGGTTTGACCGACCCTCAGCATGGCTCGGCTTGGTGAAGCTTTTCCGGTTCCTCCTCTGCTTTTTTTTTTTTTTTTTTGAAAGGTAGAGGGAGAGAGGAAGAGGTAGAAATCTTCCATCTGCTGGTTTGCTCCTGAAATTGCCAGAGGGATCAGTGCTGAGCCAGGTCACAGCCAGGAGCCTGGAGCGTCATCCGGGTCTCTCATGTGGGTGGAGCCAGGTCACAGCCAGGAGCCTGGAGCATCATCCGGGTCTCTCATGTGGGTGGAGCCAGGTCACAGCCAGGAGCCTGGAGCATCATCCGGGTCTCTCATGTGGGTGGAGCCAGGTCACAGCCAGGAGCCTGGAGTGTCATCCGGGTCTCTCATGTAGATGCTGGAACCTCAGCTCTCGGGCCATCCTATGTTGATTTCCCAGGCGCAGTAGCAGAATGCTATGTTGGAAGTGGAGCAGCTGAGACTTGAACTGCCAGCATTGCAGGCACTGGCTTAGCCTACTGTGCCACAATGCCAGCCCCACATTTTTCCCTTTGGGTGCTTTCTTTGGAAGTTACTAACTTAAGCAATGTGACTAAACTCTAGCTGCTGCGCCATCTGTCACTGCTTTCCCAGGCACATTAGCAGGAAGCTAGGTTGCAAGTAGAGCAGCTGGGGTTCGAACCCATGTTCAGTTAGGATGCCAGAGTCACAGGCAGTGGCTTACCCACTGTGCTGCGTGGAGGGGCAGTCCATTGCGTGGAGGACCATGCTGTGTTTGTGTGGGGATGGACACTCGGCTCGTGCCAGTCTGGATGAGGAGGCTGATGCTGCTGTGGCGAGTGCGGGGTGTGGACTCGCCTCCCTGGGCTTGATGGCAGCTCGCATGGGGTCAGCTCTGCGGCAGAGCTGCTGAGTGACTGTGCGGCAGTGTCGTCCCCAGCCCTTGCCCTGCCGGCGCTTGCTGCTTTAGCCTCCAGCAATGGCCGTCCTAATGAATATGCAGTGGTTAGTTTTCCTTTAAAGGACTTTATTTTTATTCCCGAAGAGCTGACTTGTTGAACACTGGTGTGTTGTTCCCCGGCTTTGTTTTGGCCGTGTGGTGCCAGGCACTCACTGGTCTGCTTTGGTTGCCAGAGTGGGTACACCCTGGTCAGGAAGGACAGCGAGGAGGAGGTGTCACTGCTCGGAAACCAGGACATCGAGGGCGGTGGCGACCCACTGGAGGACAGCTCCCGGGATGTGCTGTGCAAAGAGGTGAGCGGACACAGGGCAGGGCTGCGGGCTTCCGGGGCGCTGCTGGGGCCTGCGGGCGGTGCTGCCACACCCCACCTGGGATCAGAGGATGGCGTGGGGCTGGTCTGGGGATGGCATGGGGCTGGTCTGGGGTTGGCCCAGGGGTGCTTTGGGGTTGGCCCGGGGCTGGTCTGGGAATGGCTCAGGGCTGATCTGGGGATGGTGACCAGTTTCTGGGCCTGTAAGGCTGGTTTCTCTGAGTCTGCTTTCTCCTCTGAGGCTTTGGGCTCCATCGCACTGGGAGTCTGGCTGCAGCTGAGAGAAGGGTGTACTGGCCTGCTGTGCACCCTGAGGCCGAGCTCTGCTGAGCCTGGATGGGGCTGGACAGGCAGGAACCATCCCCGGAGCCCTGACTGCTGCTGATAGCATGCAGCTGCCCTAGTCATACCCCGCAGACTGGGGCGCACACGGCAGAAACGTGTCTCCCACCACCCTCCCGTCCGGGACAAGAGGTGGATGGGCAGGGTGGCTCCCCTGCAGCCGCTGCCTATGGCTCACAGTGAGGACCAGACAGAGCTCACAGTTGTCCCCGGCGTGTTCTGGGGAGCCACTTTGGTATCTTCCTTGGGGACCAAGCACACTGAATCAGGGTCGCAGAACCACAGAAGTTGACCTGGGAGACCGTCGCATCCCCCTGCTTTGCAGCTGGCCCTCAGGGTCCCTGTGCTTTACCCACAAGGATCAGTTGAAAGGTGAACCTTCTCCACGAATGTGTGAACCGAGGCTGGTCCAGACATGCGCAGGAGCTGTTGGGGAGTGTGGGACTCAGGCCATTATGGCGCTGGGGACTGGAGGAGGTGGGGACAGAGGCTGTGGTGGCAGAGCTGGGTCTCCCTGTCCGTCACACAGGACCCGCACCTAGCGGTTTTTGGAAGCTGGTCCTTCCCCTGCAGTCCTGAGCCACTTGTGCAGACCGCAGCTGTGCGTGGCCTGTGGGGACTCTAACGTGTGTGTTGCTCTCACAGTTTAACTTTGGGGAGATCCTGATGACCCAGGTGATCCATTCCATTGAGTACTGCCTCGGCTGCATCTCCAACACGGCCTCCTACCTGCGGCTCTGGGCGCTGAGTCTGGCTCATGCACGTAAGTCCTGGCTACATGCGGGGAGGCTGCAGGGGGCTGGGGGGCTCCAGGGGCGCTGGCTGCCTGCTGTGCGTCAGTCACTTGCACACACAGCAAGGCCTGTAGCTCTGCTGCCCACTTCTGGCCCATGCCAGCTCCTGGCATGTTTTACAAAGATGGGCAATTCAAGGCGAGAAGGGCCCGACAGAGATAAAAATGTGGCATAGAAGCAGAGTGGTAACAGGTGGGTGGGCATGGCAGGGCGACCTGCGTCCCATCCACAGTGCCCGATCCCCTTCTGTTCCCACTTCCTGCTGGTGCTCCTGCTGGGAGGCAGTGGGTGATGGTGACGGCTCAGGTCTGTCACCTGCCACCCACAGGGGAAGGGAGAAGGCCTCTGGTTTTCTCGAGCGCCAAGTCAGGCTCGTGTGTGAGCCGGTGACGGCAGCCACGGGCAGGAGAGGTGGGCTGCCCACGTGGCTTGTGCGTCACCGTGCGTGCAGTTCCCAGCGATGTGGGGGGGATGCCCATCCGACTAGCTCACCGAGAGACTGGCAAGGTGTGTTCCTTCGCAGAGCTGTCCGAAGTGCTGTGGGCTATGCTCATGCGCGTGGGCCTGCGTGTGGACACCACCTACGGAGTCCTGCTGCTGCTGCCCTTCATTGCGCTGTTTGCCGTGCTGACCATCTTCATCCTCCTGATCATGGAAGGGCTGTCGGCGTTTCTCCATGCCATCCGCCTCCACTGGTGAGTGCCACGGCCAGGCTCAGGGCTCCGCGCCACGGGGTCCCGGCTTCCTCCCAGTGGGTGCCTCCTGCCCTAGCCCTGCGGGGTGCATTGCTGGGTGTGCAGGGTGGACACACACAGGGCCTCTGTGTGCGCCCACTTCCGGGCCTCCCGGTGCCCTGCCGTCCTCCAGTCACAGCTCAGGCCTCCAGGACCTGGCCACGGCTCCTCCCAGCAGCGGGGGTCCGCCTGGCTGGCACACATGGGGCAGTGCCGCCTGACAATGTTTTTGTCACCAGCTTGCATGTGAGATGCGTCTCCGCCCAGGGACTGTGGTGTCACTCGCAGGCACAGCGACGTCACCTCACATTAACACGAGTGTTTCCTGTTTGTGTTTTTTAGGGTAGAATTCCAGAACAAATTCTACACTGGCGCAGGCACCAAGTTTATTCCTTTCTCATTCAGTCTGCTTTCATCAAAGTTGTGCAGCGAGGACCACGCGGCATGAGCACAGTGCTGCCCCCTCCCGGCGCACTCTGGGGGGTGATCATCTCCCAGAATTTCCTTGGTGTCAATTTAGGACATTCAAAAAAAATCTGTCTCATTGATTGCCTTACGATACAGCCAGATAACCCTGTAAGATATACCTCCTCCTTGTATGATAAATATTTGTAAGGTTCTGCAATTTAAGATTTCTAATTTTTTTTTGTTTTTATGATGAGCAAATATAAGTTAATGCCAATTGTTATGTTAAATATATTTTTTAAAACGCAGGATTTGGGGAGGGGAGCCCATTTTTTTGAATGGCTAGTTGAAAATAGTTTGAATACTTGATTCCTTTTAAACTCTTAAAAAAAAAATGTTATTTAGTCACTCAGAGATGCCAGATAGTATTTTCAGAAGGCTGAAGTCAGACGCAGTGTTTTGTGAGACTGTGGGGTGGATGAGCTGCTCAACCGATAGGCAGTGGCCTTCCCCCTGCCGCGCTCAGGACTGCAGGCTCCCACCTGCACGTCCGTCCTGCTTTAATAATTGGAGAAAAAAATGAGATTTTAGATAATGTAAATGATTATCCCACTGATAAATTTTAAAAGAGATTCTTTTCCTGTTCTCACACAAAATCAGGTGTGCTCGTTGGCTTTGAAAGTTGACCGCGCGGCCAGCTGCAGCTGCCGGGGGCCTACAGGAGGGGGCCTACAGGAGGGGGCCTGGAGACAGAGCAGTATTTTGTATATTTTTGTAACAAAATACAAATTAGAATATTTTACCATGCAGAGATTGTATCTGTCCTGGAGAAGAATATACTTTTTTACTCTCAGACTAATTAGAGGCGAAGGTCTGATGCAGATTTGGAGGGAAAGCATCCAGCCCCTGGGTGGGCATGGGCGGCCCCTGAGGAGCCGGGCCTCCTGGGATCCCAGAGGCCAGCCGGCCCTGCTGAACTTGATCTAGTGTGTATTCTGATAAACTCTGTTCCTATTTCTTTTGATTTTAGTTCCTCATTTTCCAAAACGAATGTAGAGAATTTTGCTGTTTTAACAAATGCAGGCGCCTGTGCCCTGTGCTGGCTGTACACGCCTGGGGCCGATGTGCTCCGAGGCCCACAGGCACAGGGTCAGGCCAGGCAGCGGGCAGCACTGCAGGGCCCGGCAGGGCACCCCACTCCCCAGAATGGCATTAGGGCAGAGAGCGCCCTGCTGGGCTCAGAGCTGTTTCTTAAGGCGGCTGATCCTTGCCCGCACACGGGCCTCCGACTCCAGCCTGCTCCTCTCGCTGGCAGTTGTCCTCTGGCTAACACCTTGTGTGAGGGCGTGGGCCAGGTCCTGTGCCCGTGGGGTGTGCGCAGTTCCTGTGCGGAGCGCAGTAAGGCTGGAGGCAGTGAGATCCCCGGGACACGGAGCGTGTCGTGTCCAGGTGTGTACTCTCCTCACCAAGTGGCTGGGTACTCTCTTGTGTTTTGTTTTGAAGCTGTTGTACATTGAATGTTACTTTTTTTCTGTAAGTATTTATTTGATGCCGGGTGGGGCTGAGGCAGGAGCCTCTATCCGGTCTCCCTTGGGGTGGTATGAGCCATCAGCAGTGCCTCCTGGAGCCAGCATCAGCAGGAATCAAGAAATGGAACCCAGAACTGGGAGTCAAGCCCCGACAGTCCAGTGGGGGACGTGGGCATCCTAGCCGGCGCCTTCACCAGCCAGTGTCGCCGCAGCTGTTGTCCCGGGCACCTGTTCCTGCCTCCTGCCTTCAGCATGCCCAGGAGAGCTGGTGGCCTGGACGCTGCCAAGTACCTGCCACTCTGCTCCGGGTGATCATCACCATGGCTGTACAGGTGTCGCCGTTGCATTGATGGGGCCCCAGCCAGGGAAGAGCTGATTCCAGGATACAGGGAGGCGCAGCGCTCTCATGGACACCCTAGGGTGCCGCTGAGAACGGCTCAGCGTGCCCTGTGGACTCTTCATCCAAGGCCGCCTTGTACTGCTTTCTGGAACGGCTGTGGGGTGGCATGCTGAACTCAGCGCTGCCTGCAGAGCACAGGTGCTCGGAGCAGGGGGACCCAGGCCCCTGGTGCCTGGCCTGCTGGGACATTCGCCTGCAGGACTCTCCACAGCTTCTATCCCGTGCTGTGCTCCGCATCCAGACATGCCCACTGTGGGAGCCAGCTTGGCAGGAATCCTCAGGCACTGGAAGGTAGTGGTCGGGAGCCCTGCTTGACATGACGGCTTGCTCAGAGGTCCAACAAGAAGGCAGGGCTGGTTTTCAGGGTTCCCAGGTGACAGCGCCAGGGGCTCACGGTCTGCCAGGGCAGCGTTTTGCCTCACAGACCCACGAAAGGACGCACTTGCAGCTTCCTTAGTATTGGACTGACTTTTACTAATGGCAAATAAAAGTGTCTATATTTTTAAAACGTGGCTGTTCTGTTCATTTTGTCTTGGCCTGATGCACAGCCACGAGCGTGCCGGGACACGCAGGGCTGAGGGTTGGGGTTGCCCCTTGCGCCTCGCCTCGTGACCACAGCTGCCCCCGCGCCCTGCGCGACCTCAGCCTCCACTGCCGCGCGGCGCACCGGGCGCGGGCCAGGCGGCTGGCGGCCGTTTCCCGGGTGCCCGTCGCCAGGGGCGCCGTTGCTACGGACGCCCGCCCTGCTCCTCTGCGCCTGGTCCCGGCTGCGCTGGCTGCGCCCCACTCGGCGTCATGGACGACCTGCGGGTGCTGTGGATGCGCGACCGCGTGTACACCGCCTTCGGCCTCACCGACCCGCAGCTCTTCGAGGAGCTGCTGAGTCGCGACGACGGCGAGGGCGAGGACCTCATCCTGCACTTCCTCAACCAGAGGAGCGACGAGGAGAACGCCGCCGCGCTCTTCTTCTGCCGCAAGGTGGTGCCCGAGGAGGAGGAGGTGGAGATCGGTGAGCAGGCCGATCCCCGCCCGCCGGGGCTCAGGTGTGGGCAATGAGCGCTCGGGCTGCCCGTGGCGCCCGTGGGGCTGGAGACAGAGCGGCCGGCAGCCACTGTGCCGGGCGGTGGAGCCCTTCAGGCTGTGGATGAGGTGGGTGACCGGCCCCCCACTTTCAGCATCCTCATCTTCAGAGGGGGCGAACAAGCGCCGAGCGAGTGCGCAGCTGCCCACTCCACGCCAGCGTGCGGGGAGCTCCTCTGCGCTGCAGTGGAGGAAGGGCCGAGCCAGGTGGGTCGGTTCATTTTAGAGCACCTGTGAGGCGTGCGCCATGCAGGGCAGGCCCAGGACCGCAGAGGGAGCCAGGAGGGACCCTGGGGTCAGGAACACGGAGCAACTGTCCACACCCAGGTGAGGGCCCAGGTCCCTGGGCTGTACTGGTCCTGGCCCTGGCCCGGTCCTGTTCTGTATTGTGCTGGCCCCTGCCCTGGCTCTGTCCTGTGCTGGTCCCAGCCCCTCCCTGGCCCTGTCCTGGCCCTGTCCTGGCCCTGTCCTGGCCCTGTCCTGGCCCTGTCCTGTCTCTGTCCTGGCCCTGTCCTGCCCCTGTCCTGTCTCTGTCCTGGCCCTGGCCCTGTCCTGTCTCTGTCCTGTGCTGTGCTGGTTCCAGCCCCTCCTTGGCCCTGTCCTGGCCCTGTCCTGGCCCTGGCCCTGTCCTGTCTCTGTCCTGTGCTGTGCTGGTCCCAGCCCCTCCCTGGCCCTGTCCTGTCTCTGTCCTGGCCCTGGCCCTGTCCTGGCTCTGTCCTGTGCTGTGCTGGTTCCAGCCCCTCCCTGGCCCTGTCCTGGCCCTGTCCTGGCCCTGTCCTGGCCCTGTCCTGGCTCTGTCCTGGCTCTGTCCTGGCCCTGTCCCTGTTCTGTGCTGTGCTGGTCCCAGCCCCTCCCTCGCCCTGTCCTGGCCCTGTCCCTGTCCTGTCCTGTGCTGTGCTGGTCCCAGCCCCTCCCTGGCCCTGCCCTGGCCCTGTCCTGGCCCTGTCCTGGCCCTGTCCTGGCCCTGTCCCGGCCCTGTCCCTGTCCTGTCTCTGTCCTGTGCTGGTCCCAGCCCCTCCCTGGCCCTGTCCTGTTCTGGTCCCGGTCCCCTGACACTTCCCCGTCCTCATAAGCAGACTGCACGTGGCTCCTGTGGCCACAGAGGACTACGTGGCCCCTGTGAGAACCTGACCTTGGCTTAGACCCTCAGGTCTGGAGAAATTGTGGGGCCCCGAGTCTGAGCACCGTTCTCTACCCCACGACCCTGGAATCAGGGAGCTGCCTGGGACCGTTGCAAGCCAGTGGCTGTGTTCTGTGTCCACTGGCAGTGGGCTGACCTCGCTTCCCACAGACCCCCTCGTGTTTCCCGGTACTCTCCGGGACACCCAGAGGTCCCTGCCTGCCGCCAGCCCTTGGCACTGCCCTCATCTGTGGACTTCGCCAAGGCCGCCGCCCGGGGATGGGGCCAAGCACCTCATTGCTGGCAGCTCTGACAGCCCTAACCTGTAGCTTCCAGCCAGAGGTGGGGGGCACAGGTTGCCACTCAAACTTTTGCTTGTTAAGTCCCCAGCCTTACCAAGGCCACTGCTGGGGAGGGGACAGCTGTGCCAAGGACCCAGGAATACAGGGGGCTTGTCACCCCACCAGCGTGTGTCTTCCCATGTCTGTCGTCTCGTTCTCCCTGACCAAGGCAGGGCCTGGGGTTTCCCTGGGCAGCTCAGGGTGTTGTCCTGGGGGGCGGAGATGAAGTGACACGATGTCACTGAGTTGACTGTTGCTGAGTAACTTCTTCCAGTCACCACAGCCACGTTTGTAATGTGGAGGTTGACAAAGTGACAGAGCAGCCTGCCAGCAGCCCGAAGTGCAGCCTCCTGCGCCCACAGGAAATGCCTGCGGCGAGTCTGGTCAGATCCTGCCGGGTCTCAGGCGGCTGCCACCTCTCGCCTCTGACTGAGGAGGCATGTATGTGATCGTGGGGCAGCCTCCCACGTCTTAGTGTGATGTTCTGTGCCTTGTCCCCCTCCCCACTGTGTCCTGGGCACTTCTCCCGTGTATCCCCGACGTGATAGATTCTAAGTAGATGGATATGTTGTAGTCAATTTGCCCTTTTCCTGATGGCAGGATACTCAGCCTCTCGGAGTACTGGACTCCATGATGGGAGCCATAGGCAACTGTGTGTGCGCACTGCAGGTGTAGGAGAGCGTCTCACCCAGCGAGTCGGGCCTGCAGTTTTAAATTTTTTTATTTTAAAGATTTATCTATTTTTATTGGAAAGTCAGATATACAGAGAGGAGGAGAGACAAAAAGGAAGATTTTTCCATCCGCTGGTTTATTGCCCAGGTTTCCATAGTGGCCAGAGCTGAGCCAATCCGAAGCCAGGAGCCAGGAGCTTCTTCCAGGTCTTCCACACGGGTGCAGGGTCCAAGGCTTTGGGCTGTCCTCGACTGCTTTCCCAGGCCACAGGCAGGGAGCTGGGTGGGAAGTGGGGCAGCTGGAAGCTGAACTGGCGCCCCCACGGGACACCGACGTTGTAGATGCCAATTGTACTTGCTCAGTTCTCCCACCCATGGCACGTGCGGTCGGCTGCCTTTGAGGCTCCTGCTCAGGGCCCTTGCACACCCCATTCTCAAGCCTGTGGTTCAAGTCTGTGAGTCTGTGCTGGGGCACTGTGGCTGTGCGTGTGGCCCTGGGCCCTGGCAGGATCTGCAGGAAGCTTCCCGGCTATCTCGGGAGGGTGGCTCCCGTGGCTGAGTCGGCCTGCTTGGCCATGTTGCTCTGAGTGCCGCATCCCGGTTGGGCTCCGCGGGGAGACGGGCCCGTGGACACACACTCACATTCTGTCTCCTCCTGCTCTGAAGAGGACATCCCCGTTCCAGGTGAAGAGGCTAATGAGGAGGAAGATATGAGCCTGGAGAACATGGAGGTCCCAGACAAAGTCCCAGGTGTGGCGCTCGGAGGGGCTGGGTGGGGCTCTGTGAGGGACCCTGCTGGGCGCCCTGAGGGGCTGGGGGCTCTGGTAGGGACCCTGCTGGGCGCCCTGAGGGGCTGGGGGCTCTGATAAGGACCCCGCTGGGCGCCCTGAGGGGCTGGGGGCCACTGTGCCAAGGGAATGCACTGGGCACCCTGAGGGGCTGGGGGCCACTGTGCCAAGGGAATGCACTGGGCACCCTGAGGGGCTGGGCAGGGCTCTGATAGGGACCCCTGGGCACCCTGAGGGGCTGGGTGGGGCTCTGATAGGGACCCCCGGGCACCCTGAGGGGCTGGGGGCTCTGATAGGGACCCCCGGGCACCCTGAGGGGCTGGGGGCCACTGTGCCAAGGGACCGCACCCACAGCCGGCTGGCAGCAGCAAGTTTCCCTCTCCTGCAACTCTGGGGACCCCAAGTCCAGGGCCCAGGGGTCACCCTCGCTGAAGGGTTGTGGGGAGCGGCCACTTCTTGG